TCGTCAGCAAGTGGTGCGTCTAGAGTGAATATAAGGGCGAGCGCCATCGAGCGCCAACAGAACACACGCACGCCAAGCATGCAGCAGCAGTACAGAGGCCAAGCCAGAAGTGCAGTAGCACCTCAACAAACAGTACAGGGCCAAGTACCTGTACACCAACAGATGCCACAAGCTCAGGGCTACGAAAGACAGCACACCCTTCATAACAATGGCACTCTTGCATGGCAGCAACAACAAGCAGCCAACATTTGGAACTATGCAGCCGCGTGGCAAGCGATGGGAGGCTACCCGTACCCGTACCAGCAACAATATTCCTGTGGAAATCAACCCCATCAGGGATACTACCCATTCCCACAACAACTGGGATTAGGGAATTTGAGTCAACCATCGATGGTGCAGGGAAGCGGTCAACCATGGACGGAGGAGCAGGGAGCCATAAGCGAATCGAGAGGAAACAGGGCAGTTGACATTAGAAATTCAATGAGTGAGATGGAAATTGAAGCCAGGAAGCAACTGGGCAAGCGGAAGATGAGAGCGGAAGGGCGAAGACGAGGGGACCAAACACAAGCAGAGGACAAATTTGATCAAGAGGAGGATGAGGAAGAAAGCGAAGAGGACGGATCAGAACAAGGCGACAGCGAGTTCAGAGATATTCCAATGGGAATAGAGACTGCAGCGAGAGGGGAGAGACAAGTGGAAGAACGATACCTACTCCCGTTTGTATTGGCACTTCACGGGCAAGATGTATTTGTGCTCGGCTTGAAGAACAGTGATGGCATGATTTTTCTTCCAGCAGCCCCACTGGTGCACATACCGTCTCACGAGGAGATTGTATATGTGGTGCGGAGATTGTACGAGGATAAGTTCAAATTCAGGGTGTTTCCGAAGGAGATGATGCCCAAGCAATCTGTTGAAGTGCAAGGCGGTAAAAGAATCAGGTACCTGATCCCACTGGTGGATGCTCGCATCCTTACGGAGTACTGGTATGGAATGCAGAATGTGGGCATGGATTTCATTCTGCTGAGCAGCTTTACCACGGGAGACCCTGCAATTCTGTCGATGGTAATGGTGGAACCAGGAATCCCGGCTCACTTCCTCCGAAGATTGGATGAAAAGTTGCTAAAGAGGAGAAATCTAAACTCTCTATACTTGGCAGATTACCTGAGAGAGAGATGGCCGGAGCACTTACAGTTGGTAACAAGCAGTGAAGGGCGAATCCAACATGGTCACGCCTCGAGCGAACGTGGTCAAACTTAAATGTGCCACCTGGAATGCTCAAGGACTGGAAGACAAAGGCGGAAGGAACAAATGCGCAAGACTGAAGACGTGGCTTCATAAGGAAGAAATTGATATTGCATTTATTCAAGAAACCAAGTTATCGGAGAAAAAACTAGTGCGGATGAGAGATTGGTGGGACGGACCCCAATTGTGGTCGTCAGCGCGTGGAACGAAAGGGGGGATAGCAGTACTAGCACATAAGAAGTTAGATGCTGAGCTGATTAATTTTGATTCAGATGTTTGGGGAAGATGGAGTTGGATAAAATTAGGCATAGGGGAAGAAGACTGGATCTTTGCGACGGTTTATGCACCCAATGAGCCTGGGGATAGACTAACCTTCCTTGAGTCATTGCTGCTGTGTTTACCGAACGAAAGTAAGATGGTAATCGCAGGAGACTGGAACCAGATTCTAAGCCCAGGATTAGATTCAGAGAGAAAGAAAGGCTTAAGACGGGACCGGAGTTACCTGTTGAGGTGGATGCAAGCATGGGGACTCAGAGACATTTACAGAGAAAACCATCCGGATTCCTCAGGATATACGTGGTTCGGTAACTCCACGAGGATGGCAGGAGTCAAGAGGAGATTGAATTTCTTTCTTGTTTCAAACGAGGCAGCAACACTGGTAGTGAATGTGAAAGAAAAAAAACGTTTTTTTTTCGGATCATAAGCCAGTGGTAATGGAGATCAGGGTCGGACAAGAGCTACAACGGGGCCCAGGACTGTTCAAGCTAAATACAATAAACTTAGAGGACAAAGGCTGGATAGACTGGGTGAAATCCTTCTGGCAGGATTGGCGCAATGCAGAGCAATATTTTGTTTATAGAGAGGAATGGTTAGATGCGGGACTGAGGATAATCTCCTATAAGTTTGACGTTTTCTCTGTCATAGCAGCCTATGCACGCAACAAGGAAGAAAGAGATATGGAAGCCAGTGTAGAGGAAGCTGAGAAAAATATGGAAGGTCACTCCATATCGGAACTGGTATGGGCTCAAGAGAGGGAAAACAGGCTAAAGCAATGGGAGGAGATACAGTGTGCTAAAGACAAAAGGTGGAAGGAGATCCTGATGGAGAAAGGGATCATCACGTCCGACCTCCATACCAAAGAATCCTTTAAAAAGCTTCTCCCAAGGAGGAAACAGGTAAACATGTCAGAACTCAAGCATCCACAGTTACCTGCAATGTCGGTGACCAAGTCACTGGAGGGAATGTGCGAGTACGCCAAGATTTATTTTCAGGACATACTCACTTCGAGAAGGCAGTTTGAAGATATTGATACAGATATGTCTGAGTTCTCCAATCTGTGGGACAACTTACAAGTGAAGCTGACAGAGCAGCAGAGCCTGAACCTGGAGAGACCAATCACGGAGGAGGAACTGAAACAAACAGTAAAGGAAATGGCCAGAGGGAAAACACCAGGCGACGACGGCTTACCGGTTGAGTTTTATGAATGTTGCTGGGACGTCCTGGAAGCGGACCTAGTACATATATATAATAATATCTTACTAGGGGGTAAGTTGGGGAAAACAATGGCGAGAGGTGTCATTACGCTACTGTTCAAAAAGGGAGATGTGAAAGAGGTAAAGAATTGGAGGCCAATCTCCCTACTGAACGTAGTGTATAAGATACTTGCAAAGGCACTGGCCAAGCGACTGGGCCCAGTTTTACCGAAACTGGTTGGCAGCGAACAGAGGGCTTTTGTTCGTGATAGATCAATTTTCGAGAATATTTTAACAGCTATCCAGGCGCTAGAAGTGGTGGAGGAAGGAAACCTAGACATAGCGATACTAATGCTAGACCTAGAAAAGACATACGATAGAGTTAATTGGGCGTTTTTGATGACTTCGCTAAGGAAAATGGGCTTTCGCCAAAACTTTTGTAGGTGGGTCAAAGTTTTGTATGCCTATTCCCCTGCAGCGGTCATGGTTAATGGGCAGTGCTCATAAGAGTTCAGTTTGACTAGATCATTGAGGCAGGGATGCCCCCTAGCCCCCCTACTCTTCGTAGTACAAATGGAAGTTTTAATTAATAGTATTAGGACGAACACAGCAATTAGCGGACTTCAAATCACGGAGGACGTGAACTGCAAGGTCAAAGTACTCGCTGATGACCTACTTGCTATCTCAGCGAATGAAACAGGATCCTTGGAGGCCCTGAAGCTGTGTCTAACTACGTATATGGAATTCAAGTTGTCGGAAGCTGCAGTTAACTGGACAAAGTCTGTTTATTTTTTGTCAAATTCGCACAATTTGAGTATGGACTGGGGCATGAGGAGAGTGAGGAGTGAGGAGGCGGAAAAATGCTTGGGTGTTCGGGTGGCATTGAGTGACTGCTCATCATCCCAGGCGACTATCTTGCAAGGAAAAGTTGTAGCACGTATCAGAAGCCGGGGAACAGCGAGACACCTGTCATTGATAGGTAGAGCACTGGTTTTGAACAGTTCGGCCTTCGCCTTACTGTGGTTCGTGTCGGTCATCAGAAACCTCCCAGTAGAACTGCTAAGCACTGTTAACAAAGAAGCGAGAAGATTCATATGGAAGCCATTCGGAAAGAAGGAAGAAGGCTGCTTATCAAAGGTAGCATGGGAAGAGGTATGCCTGGCAAGGGAGGATGCAGGTTTGGCAATCATGGATCCAAGACTACAAAACAAGGTACTACTAAGCAGGTGGATAAATAGAGTAGCCGAAGCAGAACAGAGTGCAGACGGGGTTCTCCTTGCCGAACGAATAATCATGCGAGAGTGGGGTCTGAGCAGGCCAGCGGACGTGTGGGTTGCAATGCTATCAGATGCCTTCTTGAATAAACATGTAAAATCTCGTTTTTGGAAAGAGGTAATAAAGGCATGTAAGGCTTTGAAACCAAATGTCCAAATTCGGCCAAGTTCTAAGCAGCAGGTTCTGGCACAAAATCTGTTCGACAACCTGCATATACGAGATGCGGAGGGGGGCACATTCTCAGCCAGGACAGGAGCAGGAAATTTTGGGTACAGGTGGACACAAAGAGGAATCGCCGCCATCAGAGACCTATGGGACGAAAAAGTGAATGGTTGGAAGACTGACAAGCAAGTGAAAGGAAGTCTGGGTCAACTTCCTCTGCAGAATGAAAGGAAAAAGCTCCTCATTCAAGCGATACCAGAGGAATGGAAACAACTCATTGACCCTGAAGGAATAAATCCTCCAGGCACATGGTATATGAAAGACGAGGATCAGACAAGAAGGTTTTATCGTATTCAGTATTGGGAAGAATATCCACCAGGAAAATGTGTATTGGAGGTATTTGAAGAGGAAGAAAAAAAGAAAATTTGCTTGCAGAGCTTCAGAACATTAGAAAGGATGGGGGTGAATGACATGGTAGAATGCAGGGTGCGTAGCAGAGGAAGCAAGGAGACGAGTTTCTCACCAGTAGCTCAGGGGACTGAAGTAAATAGACTTCGCATCGATCCAGAGGGATGGGGTTGGGAATTGGAAGGGAAAGTAGAAGTTGGGTAACAAAAGTTAGATTATAGATTAACAACTAGAATAGTACAAAGGTCACAGTCACTGTCAACTAAACTACAGAAGAAATGAGAGAAACACAGACCCAGACAGGAGTCCCCCAAACAAGAAGAGTATGAGAGATTGTGGTAACAGCTGCAGCTGATACCATCACAGAAGTAGGCCTCACTATTATGGCTACAAGCTCATCTAGCGGTACCCACAGCAATGTGGTTAAAAGAAAGAGGGATGGAGAGCATCGACACGAAATGCGACTTTTGTGGCTGGTTCTACGAGAATGAGAGACACTTGTGGTGGGCATGCCCAAGGTCTCAAAAATGGTGGAGATGGTGACTATTTCACTGGAAGGAGATCACATGTAGAAATAACCCTATGGGGGAAAGATGGGCGCTATCAGGGTTTCTGCCTCAAGATCTCACAGTCAATCAGGGATGGGGATATGTGGCTCAAGTAGCTAGAGCATGTCTTATGAGTGTAATTTGGAAGGATAGGAACAGGCGAAGGTTTAAAGAGGAAAAGTTGACAGATCAACAGGCAGAGATCATTTTTAAGAAGCGTCTGTTAGAGGAAATTAAAGCGGATTGGACAAGGAAAGTCGGCAAGGGTAAATCCACCAAAGGGAAGGAATGGTTCAAGAAGACTTGAGCTCAGAATGAACATCTGGTTGGTATCTCCCAAGAGAACAAGCTGAAATGGGGTCAATGGTTGACAGAGACGGATGGGATGCGTAGAAGATATATAGATTTAAGCTAAGTATTTGGAGAAGGTTAGTGTACCAACCAGGTCCACTCGGTTGGTTATATATTGGTTACGGCCGCAGTAGGCAAAAAGGGGAGGAGGGTGGTAGAGTGGCAGGTTACTCGGGAACAAGTATTGTTCCAACCGATCGTCACGTCGGTGTCAGGCCGTTCTAGGCCTGTGTATTAGGTTAGTTAGGGGAATGAGTTAAGAAGTAGTAAAGTAGGTAGTCTTTCTTACTCTTGCATAAGTTTGAAAGTATGAATTGTGACAGTTTATTTCATAAGCGAAACTGGCTAAGGCTGCCAGAGTAACTCCGGGTAGAATTGTGGGACCCCGGCCCGAATTTTGAATTTTTGAAATGAATTGACATATTACGGATGAAAAAAAAAAAAAAAAAAAAAAAAAAAACAGGCAGGCTCCCCACAACTACAGCTGATAGAAGAAGTCGAAGCACAGAATCAAAGGGACAGACCACTAGGCAATCTGGTACAGGTGAGGGTCCGGGAAAGCTGTGACGAAGAGGGGAACTGGTCCTACTACCTTTGGGCGAACGGTAGACCAGTTCGAACATTGAAAATAAACCCTCATTTATGGCCATGGAGGGTAGGCCGAAGGGCCACACAGGCCAGGTGGCTGATGGACTACACATCGACGTTGGGGTACAGCCTCACACAATCCAACAGGACTCCGCTGATGGTGGCACTCAGCAGTTTTTTTTTTTTTTTTTTAACAACCCAGGTGAATGCTAGTGATGCTGATAAGAGCAAACACCACTAGCATGCCCCGGGAGGCTCCATCTATTGGTGGGGAGCA